AAAAAATAATAGCTGAAAGGTTGAGTTCAGAAAGAAATCAAGGCAAGGAGAATTACCTGCATCATCAGCAGTTGGTTGGACCTGGCAGGGTCAGGAACTGATCTGCTGGATTCGCCCATCCCAGCAGTGGCCTTCAGCGACCAAATCCTTGCCCTATCTACTTCGGACAGGCCAGCAAAATCGCCGAAGTAGGCTGCAGCACCTTCTCGGTTCTGACCCCATATGAGGTCCCAGATGTGGTCTGGGACTGGAATTCGGGGGGCCGAGAAACCCATTTCTCCAGACTGCAGCGTCTGGAAGGAAGGGAAGGATGACGATGGAGCCTCTTTAGCTTTGGGTGGCTCAACGTCCTCCTCCTTCTCAGAAGAGTCAATTATTGTGACCTCTTCTTCTTCAGGTGTGAGGACGAAGGCCCCAACCTCTCTGGCAATGTCCGCCGTGAAACCCTCAGCACTGGGCATCACGGCGTCTCCATCCTTGTCCTCGGCGGCACTCTCTCGAGCTTCTTCCAGAACCTCTCCCTTAGGTTTGGGAGTTCTCTGATCCACCTCCATCTCGGGGGGTGGCGGAGAGGCCCTTGGGGGTGATTGAGGCGGTGGCCGGGGAACCCTCGGCGATCCATTGCCTTCCTCGGGTTCCCTTATTTCAACGCCGATGGTCATCGGCCTCCGCTGAAAGTCATGCGGGCCGATGATGGCCATTCTTCGGCGCCTCTTCTGAAGCGGCTGCTCGTCCATATCTGAGTCTGAAGACTCTTGTATTTGATCTTCGGGACGAACAGGAGCTTTGCCTTCTCTGTGTCTGTTACTCTCTTCAGACTGTAACAGACAGGGGGGAAGAAGAGTGTGAGTAAAAAAAAAAAAAAGAAGAAAGACAAAGTTAAGTCTAAAGGCTCACCGAGGTCTTCAGCAAAGCCTCGTCTTCTTCAGCTGCCCTAGCCGCAGCTTCTTCAGCAACTCTGGAGGACCCTTCTCCACCTTCACAAGCTTCAATAACCCGTGCAACCTCTTCGGCTGTACGGGCAGCTTCAGCTTCTTCTTCCAGCAGCTGAAACAAGGGATCCCTCTTCTTCCACCAAGGCTTCTGCCTCTGATACAGAGCAACAGCCTCAATTTGGAAGTGGGAAGAGTCCAGGTGAACCTCTCGGCGCCTTGGTTCAGTGATAGGGGGAGCCCGATCAGTTACGACTCGTTCTCGGTTGACGCCAAGGCGAGCGTAATCAATGCCGACGTTGGTCTCGTCCCGTTCTGAAAAAGAAAAGGGGAGAAGTCAATTCAGTTAGTTCGGCACATCACAAGAAAGCAAAATGAAAGAAGAAAAGAGATAATTAAAAGGCCTCGGCCCCAGCCGAAGAAGATTACCATCCCTAAACTTTCGGCTGAGGCCGACAGCTGCCAGCATATTCTCTTGGAAAACATAGTGCGTATCGGGGAGCCAAGTCTCCGGGATATGCTGCATTCGGCCGCTGCCTCCCCGGTTCGGCAGCTTGCCGAAGATGTTCTGCTGATTAAGGTTCGGGTCTGGCCCGCTATCTTCGGGAGGACCTAAACTTCCCATATCAGGATCCGGCTCGGCAAGATACCGGGGAGCGCTGAAAACGTAAGGGTGGCTCGGCTCCGTGGGTGCCCTAACCCAAATCCATTGACCTCTCCAGTCCTTGTCTGAAGAGTCGTTCGGCCACATGGTTAGGAACGGGGGCCGAGACTCAATCCGATACCACCCAGAGCCATGGCATCCGTGCCCACTTTGAATGTTTGGCACTAGCCGATGGAGCCTTTTGAAGCAATGCAGGTTCGGCACGTACCTGAAGAATTTGCAGACCCATAAGTACGTCATTACCCTTCGGATGCTGGTGGGGGTCAGCTGGCACAGGGAAATGTTGTAATGGATCAGCAAGTCTCGGACGAAAACGTCCAAAGGGAACCTCAGCCCATACTGAAGCTGTCTCGTGTACACCCCCACATACCCCGGGGGTGGACGATGGATTCTATCGGATGCTGAGGGCATTCGGCACCAATATCCATCAGCTTCAAAAATGCCGTAGTGCAACTCAATTTGCTCGGCAAATCGATATTGATCGGCGTTCTCTACCCACCATGAGTAGGGGCGGTTCTTTATCATGGCCGAAGCTACTTCGGCATCCTCCCACTCTGAAAACCCTGGGAGGATATCCCAAAGGACAGCGGGAACTTCATCATCCCGTCCTGAAGCGCTCACCCCCTCAGCCCTCTGAGGAGGAGCCGAAGAAATGGGAGTCGCCCTAACCCCTTCAGCAGGGTCAGACTCTGTCCTTCGTCCATTCCAGGTCCCAATCCTGTCCCTGGGATCGGGGATTAGCCTTGCTCTTCTTGGAGCACGGGCTCCACCTCTAACTCCCCTCACCATTGACGAATTTCGAAGGAAAAAGTCGAAAAAGGGGAAAGAGTGCAAAGTCGAAGAAAGATGAAATAAAATCAAAGGAATTTACCTCGATCTGAAGCAAAAGCCGCCGATTTACGAATTGGTAGTGACAAGTCTCAGCTTCTAAGCTTAATGCTCGGGGAATTTGCGAAGTTTTGATGCGGGCTCTTGAGCGTTCTTGAGAATTCTGGGTTTGTGTTGATGAATGAGTGGGGAGAGAAGACGCGCCTCTATTTATATCTCCAGAAATGGGAATTCAAGGAGTCTGCGTTTCAATTTCTCTCAAGCACCCCACTAAGTAACCGTTAAACACACGACCTTGCAGTTAAGTCGCCCACTACCCGTCCAACTTCCGCAATTATCCACATTAACTGTTGTTATCTCATTAATCATGGGTTAATTACGGTTTAAATTCACATTTTTGGATTAACAAATCATTCACTTCCCTCCTTTTCTGATTAAATCAAACCCGACCCGTCATCCTTCCAAATCGGGTCTGGGGGGCAAGTTGTTTGGGTCCAATTTAGTCCAATTGGGCCTGGTCACTGAATGATCCAATTAAAAGCCCAAGGTTAAGGTTCAACTCTCCAAATGTGCTGAAGTCAAAAATCAACATCCTCAAAGCCATGTCAAGGTCAGTCAACGGCCCAATCAGCTTGGCCCAGCCCAACTGACTTCCGGGCCCAATCCGCCTCCTTCATTAGCCAAGGTATAAAAGCCAACAATTTGGTCAATTCTTGGTAAGACAATAAAGCCTCAAGCAACTAAACTCTTGCACAGCTTTCTCTCTCTAATATACTGACTTAAGCATCGGAGGGGCCTTCCTCGGCGTCCCCCCCGAGGCTAGTTTACGTGTATTTGTTGTGCAGGAAACCCTCGGCTCCTGCGTCGTTCGGACCGAGACCAAGTTCCCTCAAGATAAAAGGATCTTCCGAGATTCGATTGTTTTCATCCGAAACACCACTAATTATGTCAAAAAAAAAAAAAACCTATGAATAGATATTTATCACCTTAAAATATTACTTTGTACAAGTTATAATTTTATTAAAATTCCAACTTGTTTAAATTTGAATTTAAATAAGCTATTAGCGAGACAAGCTCAAACAATATTTAACTTTTGCCAAACTTGAACAAGCATTAAGCATACTGAAATGTCGGTTGAGCTCGGCTCCAACTCATCTATTAACCCAAATAGGTCAACATCGGCTCGGCTCGGCTCGGCTCGTAGACATACATATATAGTATTATTAAGCCGCCCAATATTATACTGCATGCAATACATGGGAATTATTGACCAATCAACATGCTCTTCATAAGAGTACAGAGTATGAAAATGATGGAAATGGACTTTAGTTTAATTAAAAGGCCTGCCCCAGAAATAAACCAAAACATATTGGGACAATGATCTTAAGGAGCATATGTGGCCTTGTAAATTCTTAACCTCAGTCCAATTAGGTTGCTAAAAAAACGTTTCTAAATTATATGCATGAATTGAGATCATGTCATTCATGTCCCAAATTATACTACAAGTTGAGACTAGTCTATTGTCTTAATTTCCATTCCATCTCACGTTTCTGATCTTACACAGAGAGAGCAAGAAGCGCCGTAAGATAAGAACGTAGGAGGCCAGGGTGTAATTTTACATCTAGGTGTTGCGAACATCATTAACCTTAGACTTATTTCAAAATAATTTGTACTTGATGTAACGTATTTCATTTTCATATTAATCCCATCAATAAAAATCTCCATCTTAATCCAAGTTAAACAAGAAAAATTTGCATCCCTACTTAACACTTTAACACTCTAGGCTAATCTAGTAAAAACAAGTAAAATCAAATACCTCAAATAATCACTAATTAATCTAGTATAGTGCCAAATTATCCAAATCTAGTTTAAATAAGAGGTTTATATTTATCATCCTAATTTTTTGACTTAGATATTATTCCAAAAAGCAGAAGATTTTTTGCACCTGAAAACTTGAAATGGTGACAAAAGAGACGGATAGGAGGCAAAGGGGTAGGGAAAAAGGCAATATTATGTCTTTTGGTTAAGCTAAAAGCATTTTTTAATTTTAATTAGTGTTCTAATTATTTTATGACACTTGCCCTTTTAACATTTTATTAAATGCTACTCTTAATCCTATTAGCAAACTAGATATTGTTTTTATCCGCTTAAAGTATAAAGAAATGACTATATAATATTCATACTAAGCATAACAAGTTGCATAATAAGGTCGTTTTAGCTTTATCCATTAATCAAGATCTTAATGTTATCAACAGGCAAACTACTCTGGTTGTCTTACATGTGAGCAATGATAAAGTGGTTTAACTACTACAGTATTCAAGTTAGTCATCCACTTTGTTTCTGAAAGTGTGACATATATACATGTAAGTACATTTGCACATTCGCGAAGCCACTTAGATGCATGTGGTGTCGGTTACTCTATTAGAAATAAAGTCTATAATTAATTCTTTATACATAGTCGTGCATCGTTCAATTTTAGTAACGCAAGAGATAATCTGTAGCCGCCGTAACAGAGTACTAGTATTAGTATTACACATTAATAATGACTATCACTGCCATATCAAGCTTGATTAGCTTAGTTAAGTTAAAATATGAATATGAAGTAACAAAGAATTGAAATGGATGAAAGGAAAATGTTTGCACTGCGAAATACAGTTTTACAGATTACATGAAGAAAGTCAGAAACTATAATATAAGCTTTCCCAGCTTCTCTTTGCTGCTTCCACTAAGATCTTTTTTGCCTTTACAAAATCGCAGCAAAATAGATGAAGATGAAGCTGCAAAAAAGAAGCATAGAGGAAGGACTAACCCTATCATATTTCACAAACACAACATAACGCAACAGGTGGTCTGCTGCATCACAGTTCAATTCGGCAAAAAAATTGTACTAGTACAATATATATAGTTCTAAAAGCTTAAATTGTTGCTCAGATACCTTGCTGTGTCATTCAGGTCTGAAAACTCAAATATTCCAGAAAACCACAGAAATAGGTTTTTTTTTTCCTTCATTATCTTTTTTCCGATCCTTTTGGGGGAAGAAGGGTGAAAGAACACCATCTGTTCAAACATCAGACAACCATTGTTGGACCATCAGGTTTGACAGAGTTTTGCCCTCCAAGGAGCCATAAGCTTCAGTGCACCAAACACGCATTTCTTATACGAGAAGTCTTCCAAAGTTTCACCATCCCTCTCCAAAACGAAGCACTGTGTCACGTGCCGACTACTTTGCCCTAGTCACGCACCGTGCGCCACCAGCTTACAGTCCGTCGTAAGACGAGTTAGGCTTTGTCCCTTGGCACTAACTCCTTGTGCCCACGTAGCACAACTCCTTGTGCTGCTAGTATAAGTTTGCTAGCACGATCCCTTTGTGCTAACAAGTCCCCTTTGGTTGAACTAAGCACTCACCCTTAGTGCCTTAGTCCGAATTTACGACTAAGTGTCGTAGACAATTGAGCACCCAAGCTATCACCCTTGCTGGTATGCCCGATCACTCACTTGGCACCCTCGTGCCTTAGTTTTCCTCACACTCTCTAAGTGTTGGAAGGAAAGGATTGAGTTGCAAGAGAACACAAGTGCTTAAGAAAGACTTTTTGTATTGCTCTCAACTTAAATGTACAAATGATGCCTTGGAGCCTATTTATAGTGCTCCTCCCTACTTACAACCTATATCTAGAACGTTCCTAACCTCCTCAAATGGAGGGTTCTAGACTACAAGGATCTAGAGTGTTCCCACCTCCTTAGGAAATACATACATGGAGGTTTTCTACAAGCTTCCTTCCTAGAATGCTAAGGACTAACCTAGAACATTCTAGAACTTTACATACAAAATGTACATACATAGAAGACCCTAGAGACTTCTAAGATGCACTAGATGAACCTTGAATATTCTAGAGACATCCCTTCTAGAATACTCCTCCAAAAGAACCCCGTAGATAGCTCCGGAACCTTCTAGAAGCTTCTCGCGTTTTCCGGGCTACCTGCTGCACAAACTTGTATTTCGGGACCTCGTCTCGGAAAACCGACACCACCATCGTCTTCCTTGGCCCAAAATACGGTGGACCCCCAAATTTGAGCCCATTTAGAGCCCACTTGCTCGTCCAAATGGCCCATTATTGTGTTACTGTCAAGTGGGTGTTCACTAGTATTTTAAGCAAGGTGCTAAATAAAGCTCTTTAGGGGGAAGTGCTTAGCTGAGCACCAAGGCAAGCCCCCTAGCCCCGATTGTTGCCTTGCTGCCTAGTGACCCTCTTGACGTCCCTCCTTGGTGTGGGAGATGACCCGTGACAACTGGCTGTCTTTGAATTCAGCCTGATGACCAACCTGTAACCACACAGCTCTTAAAGGGTCAGAATAAATTGTTCAAACATTTTGTAATGACACTTTCTGTTAGAAAAATTAAACATATTCAGAGGCAGAAGTCTATACAATTCACTTTCATCATATACACAAAAGGGAGGAAAATGTACAGTATATGGCTTCAGTTATATTTCCTTTTACAGTCCAATATTATGCATCACACAAATTTGAATCATATAACTATAGATATTGTATTGTTTCTATCCTTCTATAAAAAAAAATTCACATCCCTTGTTCAAAAATCATGACAACAATTACTACATACTTCATACCTTGTATAATTCACTCCCTCTGTCCCTAAAACAAACCATGTATTTATTTTAAGCCATCTCGATTACAATTTTCCTTCAACATCTGCTTCAGAGAGCTAATACTGGGTGAGGAAAGAACTCTCAAGACGACACATGTGAGATGAGAAGAATAGTTAAAAGTTTCAATAACAAATAAACATTCACCAAAATGACCAGACAGATCAGCTAATGCAAGAATAGGGATACACATGAAGTAAAGTCAGCTTTTCAGAGAATTTTAAGACGAGGGGAAAAAATGAGCATTCCTGGGTTACGAATGATACCCATAACTGAAAATTCCAAAGGCAAACATTGGCAGAGGAAAAATTTAGAGGTGTTTTGAAGTACTAGCATTACAGCCTTAACAGGTGCCTATAAAGAATCACAAAAGCCTAGACAGGATGCAAATATACAGAAAACCAGAATAACCAATTACCAAGGCAATCATGCAGACTTTACATGCTCGACAGTGGAAGCGGGATTCAACAAGACACAAGCAACTGTACATCTGATAATGGGAAGAAGAGGAAAGAAGAGCTTGCCTTAAAAATGTGGGTGGATTTTTAAAGCTGTCAGCGACATTGCCTTGTGCAAGTCACTCAACTTCTCATCATTGCATTCTTGTATCAAAATCGAGGCACATGAGAATATAATATAACCAAGAACAAACTTTGATAAAAAAATCTGTGAAGAGCTCAGGCAGCATAAAATCGAAGTCAGGCAGAACCGCAGAACCAAACTGAAGTCATACAAAAGGCAATAAGTTGCCCATAAAAATAGTCATATAGCACATACCAGTTGTTACTTTTCTAAGTAGATTCTAAACACATATTGCAGGATTAAATCACAATGTTAATCCTGTAAAATGCATTATAGACATTTATGATGGGGCGTTCATAGCTCATATAGAATTCCGTGCTAAGTCCACTGACAGACATATACTAAGGTGTAAGAGTTGTGTAAGAGTGTGCAATCCAATTACAGGAACACCTCTTTGTTCACATCACCAGCATATGGGCCAAAGCAGGAAGTAAACAGGTTGCTAAGTTGCATACTAAAGTATATAATGTGGCAACATACTAAGAGGATGAACTTCAGAAAATAACTGGAGAATTTGGAAGTCTGCAGCCAATTTTTTTTTCCAAATCACATCACATATTACAAAATCCCAGAAATTAAATTTATGATAGTTCATATTCAACTTTAAAAGGTAAATATGGGTTCTCTAACTGGCAACTACTAAGTTCACAATATTCACAATCAAAACTTGAAATTTAATTAATGTTGACCAATATATGATTGCAATTTAGCAAAAAATTTCACAACTCAACCAATTTTGGAACTAATTTTTAAACATAATAATTTTTTCACATATAAAATTTTTTAAGTAGTCGTTTGAAATATGACTATCATAATGTTTTAATGATTATATATTTCATAATTGACATATTTTTTCCAAGTAATTAATTATATTACTTTATTAATGGTATTAAATATTATTATCAATATTTTTTTTAAATTTATCAAATTTTTAGTTTTATTTATGTAAATTTTATTCTTATTTTATAGTTACTCAAAAAATATTTATTTTATGTTGGATTAAAATTTTCAAAATTTATATTTACATTGTAGATATTATTAGACTAATTGTGGCCATTTTATAACGTGAAAAATAAACCGATCATATTATATATCATTAAAATAATATGGTAGTTCCCTCAAAAAAAAAAAAAAAATGGTAGTCATTTTTCAAATGACTGCTATTTCACATAATATACCCGGAAAGCAATGGAGTAGTACATACTCAGAAGATAGAAATTGTGCAAAACATATCTTCATGAAATTATATTGGTAGAATAATCAAGAACCTAATTTGTAATAGAACACTAGTAGAATATTTGGTAAAATTGCAAGAAATAATAGAATATAAAAGGGAAAAGAGAAGACATGACATACCAAACACAGAGTAATTGCTTAGGAGAAGCAAAGAGAGCAATATCAGCTTCAAGAATGTTCTGACAGTGTGATTCAACAACAGAAAGACCTGATTCCTAAGGCCATTTTCAGCATCTTCACTAAAATTTCAGCTTCCCTGTTTTTATAGTGGGATTTGATTATGTGGCGAAATAAAACTTGTAGTGTTCATCGCATCTAGAAATCTTGGGTTCTTTGGTTTTTCGAAGCAAAAATCACGAGTTTTTTCAATTCCATATGACTACCTAAAAGTGAAAGCAGCATTAAGTTAGTTTCTGTTACATCAATAACAAAAAGAATAAGACAATTGGAAATGCTAGATAGAGTAGTCAATCAAGTCATTCACTGGCACTACTCATCTGTTATTCCCTTTGCTTCTTGTGCTATTCTTATTTATATTTATTGAAACAAAAGAAAATGACACAGATGAGAAATATTTGACAGCGAGCTTTTAAGATACACAAAACATGGCACAACAAAACGAAAGATCAATCCTTCCTAACAATCTAAAAAGCAAGATAACAGACCACAAAACCAGACTCTTGAAGCCTTTAGACAGTTGAACTATTTCTGTAACAATGTTTGAGAAGTTATAATGGATCAACATAAATTCATACATTCCAAGAAGTTACAATCAACAGTTAGACTATTTCTGTAACATCGTTTTAGAAGTTATAGTTAGACTCTTAAATCTCACGATCTATATTCTGGGATTTTACGATCCACATAAATTCATATAATCAACTTAACCACTTAGTAAGCATGATTAATTGCTCTAATAGTAAATAGAAAGTATTAATAAAATTTATCATTTTAAAACACTCAGTAATACAATGCTAATAATTCAATAAGAAAATCACTAGACTAAGTAAAATATTTATACGACAGACGCTAAAGAAACTCGCTTATAAGACTACTTGTTTAGACAACAATTCTAACACATCTAAACTACTCTTGTAATTGTGCAACTCACTGACTAGCATAAAAAAAAAAAAAAAAACAAGAGGAAGCAAAAGTGCAGCAAAGGAAACTTAAAATCAATTCAGCATGCTACACACAGCCTCACAAACTAGGCAACCCAAAGAGCCCCAACACTCATGTTAACCAACAACCAGCAGCCACTTTTTCACCCAACACACCCATTTCAGTCTTCTGTCCCCTGTAACCTCTGCACTTGCTGCCCAAACTGCAGTCACACCCAAGAAAACTTCTTGTACTCTTGTAGCATCACACCATACTAAAACAGCCCTGTGACTACAACACCTACACTATTCGCACACAACACACAGACTAACACAACCCTTACCGGCCAAGACTCCCTTGCAATCCCCTAAACATACACAACAACACAACTAATACCCCACAAGGTCTCAAGCACAGATCAATTCTTGTACAGACCAAACGTGCAACACAACAATAACAATTCTGCCACAACACAAACCTTACGGATAATCACCAATCAACTAGAGCAAATAATCCTGCTGCAAAGGCCGGGCCTTTTACCCAGGAAAAGGCCAATTAGCAGGTAAAATAATACAGTTACTGTCACTACCTATACCTTAAAACACATTGCAGTAGGCAATATCTAAAAGAACAATCAATAGGTTTGGCTTCTTAATAGAGTGGCAGCCTTCCAAATTTACTCTCATTCTCTATATACATCTTTTGGAGTCCTCTACAGTGTTTTACTTCTCCAGACTCGAGCTAACTATTGTTTTAATCTGTATAGAAGTAGTCAAGTACTACCTCCGGTCCAAATTACTCGCAACTTTGAACCTTTACTAACAATTTTCACACAATAATTGCAATTGACCTTCTTATGCTACTCATTACTTAATGGCATGATGCTGACTATTGCCAAGGCAAGCAAGCAAAAGCAAAGACGTCATTCCCATCAAAGACATTACTTGAAAATTTGGATCTCCAATTTACATCACACTTTACAAAAATCCCAGAAACTAAAATCACCATCATTTCATATCCAACTTTACAAGGTAAATTGGTTCGTTTTTCTCTAATTCACAACCACTATGTATACGAATCACACAATATTCACAATCAAAACTCGACGATTTTATAATTGCAATTTGGCAAATAAATTGCCTAAATCAACCAATTTTGGCACTAATTCTTAAACATCAACAACATTTTATATAAGTAGGATAATCAAGAACCAATTTTTAATAAATTACAAGTAAATTGAGCAAGATTGCAAGAATTAACGAAACATAAAAGGGACAAGAGAAAACATAACATACGAAAACCCAAAAGAATACTGCAGTTACTATTTAAAAATCAATACTTAATAAATTCAGTGAGGCGTTTCATCAAACACCTTGCAAACAGTCGCAATACCCAGCTTGCCGCCAAAACACGTCACACAACAAATTACAAAAAAATAAAAATTAAATCTTTAAAAATAACTTCAACTTAATACTTGCAATTAATTAATTAATTAATTAAAGAAGAGAGAGAAAATAATTACCCAAAAAAATGAGGAAAAAATGTCGACATTCTTAACACATTCTCTCCCCAAAAAGTCACCTTTATTGGTTGAACAATTCTGAAATGAAAAACCATGTTCTTGATAAATGTCGACATTGTTAATCCACATTTCTTGTTCACCTCTTTATTATCATCATCCCCTGTTAATCCAAAAATTCCTAGAGAGAGAAAGTAGAAAAGGGGTTTTCTCTCTCTAACTATCTATCATTCTTTCCAACAAATTGCGAATTGAATTACGCAAAAATTTTCCCGTAATTCGAGAATCGTGTCCTTAAAAAAAAATATACCCTTTTTATATAAAACCCTTTTTATCACTTGTATTTCTTCCCATGTCTTCCTTCTTCCAGGTTTGTTTGTTTTTCTTTTCTTTTCTTTTTCTCTCAAAAATAATTAAAAAAATTGAGTTGAGTTTTGATTTCAATTTTAATGGGTTTTAATTTCTCAAACAGGATTTCTTGTTCCCAATACTCAGCCTCAACCCCATCAGGGAAAACTTTAATGTGTTGTCAGGTATACTTACTATTTTAGACTCGTTTCGATTTAACTGTTACGTTACTAGTTCAAGTTACAAGTACTCGTATTTCATCTTTTGTTTGAATGTTACCTTGTTGGGGTCGTCATTTAGTTGTTTACATATGCATATATGCTATTACTTCAAATTACACTATTTGTAATTGTTTGATGAGTATTTCAAAATTTTAAACCGTCCTTATTTTGTTGTTAATCCGTTAAAATACATGTAACTATTTTAGTATTTTGGTATGTCATCCTTCAACGTCACCTGTCATTAAGTATGTCGTGTCTACATTACTAGTTCGAATTACACTGTCAATTTTGGTCCAACCGAGATTTGATGGGATTTTCTTAGGGGGGAAACAAATATTTTTGCACCCCTAAACAAAGTTGATTTTCTTGGATCTTTTTCCCTCTTTATAAAAATCAATGTTCTTTTTTCTGTCTTATATAGTACTCCGTAACATCAATTTCAGAGTTATGGGACCATTTATCTGCGAATTTAATTCCAACTTGAACTCCTCGACAAGCGAAAATCCCCATAACAATAAATGATTGAACAATGAGAACTCTATTTTATCGCCATTTTGATAAAAGAACAAGAACAACACTCTGTTTTCTGGCTAACTAAGTGAGGAAATTATTGGAATATAACAATCTTGGCATTGTGTTTTTACCAAATTTAGGTACCCTTTTGAGGCAATTTCAAGAATCAATGTCTAATACCACCTGTAAATTGTCTGATTCGATGTGTCGCGACGACACGGCCGCATTGACACTTAAACTGGTGGCAATTGGGTCTATTTTGGTGGCCGGAGCAACGGGGATTACGATTCCGTTGCTCGGCCGGAGAAAGAGTTTTCTTGCTACTGATGGGAATCTATTCATAGCAGCAAAGGCATTTGCTGCGGGTGTTATACTTGCTACTGGGTTTGTACACATGCTGCCTGATGCTGGTCAAAATCTTACTAACTCATGTTTACCAACTCACCCGTGGTCGGATTTTCCGTTTTCGGGTTTTATTGCAATGATGGCAGCATTGGTGACATTGCTGGTGGATTTTGTTGGGACACAGGTGTATGAGAGGAGAGCAGAGAGAATGAAGAGGAAAGGGGATGGGTTGGGGCTTGATGGGTCACTTGACTCGGTTTCGGCTGCCGGGGTTTTACCGGCTGATAGGATGGTGGTGAGTAGTGGAGGAGGGAGCATTGTGGGGATTCATGCTCATGAACATGGTCATGATGGTAATGGGGTTGATGGACATGTTGTTGAAGTGTATGATGATGGTCATGGACATGGACATTCTCATAGCTTTGGTGGAGATAGTAATGCCCGCCATGTGGTCATTTCTCAGGTACATTTAATGCTTTCTTTTAATATTCGGCTTTGCTAAAGTCTTGTATGAAGTAGTCTCACAATTATGACGTTGTGAGAGTAACGTTTAACTAGAATTAAATAAATTAGTATGAAACAGTCTCGACACATTCATTGGTTTTGAGGGTTTATGTATGGAAGTGGTAGTATTTGCTTATATTTAATTAAATAAGTTGGTATGAAAATTGAAAAGGTCTCAACTTATTCATTGGTTTAGGGGTTAATGTATGGAAATGATAGTATTTGCTTATCTTATCTTGTACACCAATTTGCAACTTGTTAGCTTCAAATGACATATATACATGTATGGTGTGCATTTTCCATTAGCTATCAAATTACTTCTATGGTGTGCACGTACAAGGCAGGTGTCTCACTGGTCCCTTGCATTACTTCACAATTTTTGTTTGAATTTTAGTTTGTCATCTAAAAAGCCATCGTACGGCTGTTTTTATTTATTTATCTTTCTATGGAGTATATGATGTCTCGAGGTGACGACCATTATGGATTGATTAGTTAAGATTCGTTTTAGTGTTTTCTTTAAGCAAGTAGTCTTTTCTTTGGTGTGTAGAAATATTCAATGGTTGATAGCAAAAGTAAATCTAGTAGGGCTATTACAAAATACAATCACGTCACGTTTGTATAGTAGAGCATTAGCAACTTAGCAATTTTCTTGGCCCTCCTTTCTTCTAATAGAAAAAGTCACCTACGATTTGAGTAATGGTCACAGACTCACAGTCGATCATGAACCCTTCATATCTATTTTAAATTGGGATTTTACTATTTTAGCGAGTGCAAGTGACTATTTCAAAGAGACCGAGTGTATTTCACTGATAAAAGAACTCATTTAGGACAATGGATACACTGTAATTGACTTATTAGATAATAGTTTTCATTTTTTACTTATAAATTATTAGAATATACACTCCTTTTTTATTTGTAATAAGTTATAAATTTTGATGATTTCTTTAGCTCTCATAAAACAAACTAACCTCTAAATTTGTACTGGGGTATTCAACTAGTTAGAACTTTGAAGATATTTTAGGATGCCTCAAATAAGTTTGCCTAAAAAAGTTTAAGTTGGGCAATTCCCTTGATATTTTTGGTTTTTTTCTTAAAAAATATTTCTATTTATTTTTTGTTCTCTAAAGTTTGTTTAAGTAAGTTCTTTGAATCAAAGAGGTTTCGTAAAAACCAAAAAAATAAATAAAAAAATAAATAATAAATAAAAAATCAAGAGGTGTTTTTTTACTCAAAGCAACTAAGCCAAATCTTGTGGCATATACTGTTAGATGGTCCTTTTTGAGCTTTATTAAAAAATAAGATTCTATTGCTAAAGACTAAATTAGCGGACGAGCTTTTTCTTTCTGAGCATATGGTTCGTTGAGTAAGAAACAGTAGGAAAAGATAGAAAGTCTACTTGAACAATTATTGATTCTCCATTAATCAGTTGTAGAATCTTGGACCAATGTATTTTTAAGGGTATGGAACAAAAGGGAAAAGGGGGGAACGTATCTGGCGTCTTGTCGAAATGGTTTTTATTACTAGTATTACTTTTTGCCTTTCATCTTTAAGCAATTCTCAATGACCAGGGATTTTAAGTAAGTTAGAGTTGAAAGATACTGAAATTAGTATCTAATCGAATGTCATACACGAGTTTTTGTTATAGATGCTGAGGACTGTTTCAAAAGCACTGATCTTTTTTATAGTGAGTGGTTTCAGCTATTTTAGATAAAAGAAAGTGGATTTAGCATAGTGTAAGTTCTGGTCCTTTGCTCTGCCTCATGAAGTGTTTGAAGAGCTAAACCGCCCCAAGCCAGGAAGCAATGCCGCTTAGATACAGGAACCGTATTTTTGTAGCTAATATGTTGGAGCATTTGGAAGCTCATTAATGCTAAATAATACCTTTTTACATTGATGGAAGTATGAAGAGCTTGTTTATTGTTTCCCCTGCTTTATATGCACTTTTCTTTTTCTTAAAATAAATATTTTGCTTATATTATATTCTTGTGTATGCAGGTTTTAGAGCTTGGAATTGTTTCACACTCGGTCCTCATTGGATTATCCTTAGGAGTGTCACACAGCCCTTGCACAATAAAACCATTGGTTGCTGCATTATCCTTCCATCAATTCTTCGAGGGCTTTGCCCTTGGAGGTTGTATTGCTCAAGCCCAATTCAAGGATAAGTCCACCATTATCATGGCCTGTTTCTTCGCGCTTACAACTCCTGCAGGCATTGCTGCAGGTATCGGCCTTGCCTCCTTTTACAACCCAGCTAGCCCAAGAGCCCTCATAGTTGAGGGAATTCTCGACTCTATATCAGCAGGGATCCTAGTCTATATGTCCTTGGTTGACCTAATAGCAGCTGATTTCATGAGTAAGAAAATGAGATCAAACACAAGACTCCAGGTTGTGTCTTATGTCGCTCTTTTCATGGGAGCTGCTTTAATGTCATCGCTTGCTGTCTGGTCGTAATCTATTGGTAAACTTTAACCTAATGTGACGTTTTTGGAATTTGTGTGTGTTTTGTTTAACTGCTGCCCATAAATCACAACTGGGGAGTTCTTTTTAGAGCCCGGTTATCGATTGTTTCATGCTTAACGAGCCTGGTAAATTGAAGATGTATCTGCATATCTGCTTGGAGGGAAGTGTGGTTTTAAGTGGGGAGGAGGAGAATATCTACTGGGCATTAAGTGTGAATTTTTGTACTGCCTGTACAGTGCTGTGTGGCTGTGTATACCGGTTACCAACCGAAGTTTTTGTTCCGTGACCGTGAAACTGGAATTGTTGCCTGCGCTAACTAGATAAAGGAAAGGAAAATGATGAAGATGATAAAGACTGATCAACAGTATACTATCTTATACAGTACAAAGTAACTCTCTGTAAATATGTATTTTGAAATTTTTGCCAGTAAATGCTATTGTAACAGTATTGTACCATTTACCAAATATGTTTTCTATACTCTTAATCTCTTACTAAATGCAAAGTTTCATATTTGAGCTTTTAGATAAGATGTATAATTGCATTGGTGTTTTGACTGGCCTTTGAATCAAAAAGTTATCCAGTAAAGGAAACATGATTAGTAATAAATTACTAGTAAGAACGTATAGCGGCAACCAGGATGGCTATCAATGGATAATGACTCTAGAATTCGGAATTTGCACGCTTAAGCTAGTCCGAAATGAGAAGTGGGTTTAGAAACCAGTTATGAGTTATACAAAGACTAGGTAGGTTAATCAGTATATCCCGATTCCCGCTACGCACCTTGCTTTCGTCAATAAATTACTATCACAACTAATAAGCAAGTAACTTGGAATGCAATAGTACCAATGTCCAGTTATGTGCGAACGCTAAAGAAAAATGAGATTCAATGTAACCAAGTTACGAATAGAGCAAAAAGGATTTACATACAGTTGAAATTTAGTAACAAGTTATGTATCGTTCATTGTTTTTAACTTGATGCCAGATAATTTTACGCGGTTATGGAGTATTGCAGAACACACTATCAAAGTAACAGAATTGTGCGTTATTAACAACCACCACAAATTATCTACGAGACTACTGATATATCATTCCATAAGATAATTCGGAGTACTAGTATTTGTATTGAGCTTGATGAACTTAGGGTAAGATAATAACGAAAATGTTTGCATTGTGAAATACAGTTTTACAGATTACATGATGAAACTAAAATAATAATAGCTTTCCCAGCTTCTCTTTGCTGCTTCCACTAAGATCTTTCTTGCCTTTACAAATCGAGGCAAAAAAGATGAAGTAGAAGCAGCAAAAAGAAGCGTAGAGGAAAGAACTAAGCTACCATATTTTACAGACAAAACAACACAACACAATGCAACATGTGGTTCCTACTTCAACATGTGGTTTGCTGCTTAACAATGTTTCTCAGATACTACAATCTTCCAAAAATAATGTACTAAAGAGTTCATAAGCTTTGCGGGTAAAAGGGCAGAGAATATGATCCGGTCAGACATCAGACCTTTTGCGTGGTGCCATTTTTGGCCCATCTGGTCTGATAGAGTTTTGCCCTACTAGGAGCAATAATCTCCAGCGCACCAAAAACGCACTTTTTGTATGAGAAGTCTTCAAAAGTTCCATCATCCCTCTCCAAAACGAAGCAACGGCTGTCTTTATGCTCAGCATGATGACCAACCTGTAACCACACAGCTCTCAAGGGTCAGAATAAGTTGTTCATTTTCTTCTTTTCATATTTGTCAAGAGCACTTCTTTTTATACAATTTTACTCACAACAAGAATACAAGACGCATAAGTTTATACAAACCATTTTCATCATCATATATGTTCTACAAAATAGGTAATGAGATGTACAACATATTTGTTGTCAGTTACATTTCCTTTTACAGCCCAAAAATATGCATCACACAAAGTACAATAATAAAAATATTGAAATTGTTTTGTTTCAAACCTCCCATAAACATTCTCCTACCCCCTCTTCATATACATCATTACAATTATCTTCTACTACCTCCATCCATTAAACAAGCCACATTTCTATTTCAAGCCATCCAAATATATAAGCCACTATATATTTAGTAAGTCGGACTTTCTCATGTTTCCCTTAATGATGCCCATAATTAAAAGTTCCAACATGCTACAGTAGATAAGGGATTCAAAAAGTTAAAAAGAACTGTACATCTTGTAATAAGAAAAAAAAGGTAAAGAAGGGCTTGCCTTAATATCTACAGCTCCACTCCCAATCTTCTCCTCTCGGTGTGGGTGGAATTTTAAAGCCATCAACAGCATTGCCTTGTCAACGTCACTCAACTTATCATCAATTTCATACCTGGATCAAAATCAAGGAACATGAGAATATGATAATGTGAGTATAATTCATACAGAGTGTCCAAGAATCTGTGGCAACACAAATCACCCCAATGATAATGTGAGTATAATTCATACAGAGTGTCCAAGAATCTGTGGCAACACAAATCACCCCAAAAGATGAAAAAAATTCAGGCACAACCTGTAGAAATCATACAGACTAACAGAAGGGTATAGTATTCGCACTATGCCAAATAGTCATATAGCTCATACTTTGTATCAGTTCACTTCTATAAGTGGTTTTCTAGCACATATTGCAAGATTAAAGATTGGTTGTTCATATTGCTTAGCCTGTGCAATGCAGACTTTTAAGATCAAGTTGTAGACAGCTCAATAAGCTCATATAGGTTTCCGCGGTAATTCCAGTAATAGATATTAATAAAGTGTAAGCGTGTCTGTAGACTCTACTACCATGTCATAGTATGCTATCCAATTTCAGGGAAGCATCTTAGTCCACAGCACCATCATAGGCCAAAACAGGAAGTAAAAAAGGCTGCCTCTACTGAATGATGTCTAAAGCTTATTAAGTGTACAGGCATTTACACAAATTTTCATGGATATACTGAATACTATATGCTTATAAGTGAAATTCTTGTAATTGATTTTGTGAATTAAAGAGACAAATGTAGGAGCATATAGTCTTTAATTTAATGTTGATATCCATTCATCACTAACTCTCCTTTAAACAATTATGAAATTATAATTATGGACCAAATATTTCTTATCATACTTACTTTCTTAGGCTAACCAAACCTTCAAAATAACTCAAAATAGACAAATAGTACCAACTTTGGGCTTTGCATTCTCATGTAGATACACAGACACACAGTGGTCTTTCACTCCTCAAAGTAGTCTCCAAAATAGCCAAATGAAAATAAGTGTTGGATTATGTAGGATTATTATGAGAATACTGTAGAAATAACCATAATTAGTTCCTTAATTAAAGGGACTAAATATTGACCAATTTATTCTGCAAATATTTAGGCTGTATTTTTGGTAGTAGTTGCTGTAACCTTGGTAGTAGTTGCCTAATTTACAGGATACTTCTGTGTATAAATATTTGTACTATCACCAGCAATAAACACACAGAAAATTGCAAACACAATTCTGCTTAATTCTCTATATGGTATCAGAGCCGTAAGGTTCGGATCTTCGGGAAACCGAAACCTAAATTAGCCTCATCATATACCGGAGACTTACCTTGAAATGGGGGAACCACCGGAAAACAACAACAACAACCAACTGATTTCTATGGAACAGATGGAACAAATGTTCCAAATGTTCCAGAAATTAAACAAAAACCCAATAAACACTGAATCAGGGACATCACAAACTGTGCGTGTTGCTGAAAAATTGAATTTTACGAATTACACCAAATGGTGTAAATTGATGCAAATTGCAATTAGTGGCCGGGGAAGGCTCAATCACATCACTGCCAACCCCGTACCACCAGATGATCCGGAGTACGCACAGTGGGCACAAAGGGACTCATTGGTTCTGTCCTGGATCATCGAAAACATCGATGGAGATCTAGTGAACCAATTCCTAGATTATAAACATGCTCGAGATCTGTGGAAGGGCATTGAAACCCTACTCAGTAGTGGGAGGGACGAATTACAGACCTTTGATCTGAACACAAAGGCTGCATCTTTGAAGCAGGGAAGCGAAAACCTAGAGGTGTATTTCAGTAAACTGAATACCCTCTGGAAAGAAATTGATAGGAGAATGCCAAACCCAATGAAGTGCTCAGAAGATATTACCCTCTTTAATTCATTTATACAGAGGCAGAGATTATACCAATTTTTGGCTGGTGTTAACGACTCACTGGACAAAGAGAAGAGGGACTTACTGAATCAGGACCCTCTTCCATCAATTGACGCAGCATACGCATTCATTAGACGGGAAATTGCCCGTCGCGGGATAATGACCGGCGTTTCATCACCGGGACAAAATCCTTCAGAAATTGGAAGTGGGCTCGTTGCTAATCGCCGGTCGGAATCTTCATTCCGGCGAGAAGACAAATCCCACCTAAAGTGTACCCATTGTGGAGGAACGAAACACACCAAAAAGGGGTGCTTCGAAATTATCGGGTATCCGGAATGGTGGGAGGAATACACAAAGAAGAAGGCCGCCACCAAGGTCGGCGTGAACCAGACCGGCGGCAGGGCACATCTTGCCGTGAAATCGAGCCCAACCCCCAGTAGATCTGACAATGATGGTGGCGGGAAAAACTCAGGCAAGGAAGGTTGCGCAGAGAAGATCGCAAGCATGGAGGAAGCAGAAAGTACCACCGAGAATTATGGTGGTCAGGAAGGTAGAGAGCAGAAAATGGAAATAGGGATTGAAAATGGGAAGGATGAGGCAAGGACGGTAGAAGACCTAACCCACAAAAAACCCACCCCCTCTCACCCTCTAACCGTCTCTCTTAAAACCCCAAGCCCACAAAATAAATTTAGCCCAATAAAACAAAAAATAGGAGCCCAAGTTGAAAATACTCAGCCCCCTAGCTTAAACCAAAAATCTTTTGGCCTCGTTTGTCATAGACCTATCCCGTGGATTTTTGATTGTGGAGCTACTGACACTATGACGTGTGACCCATTAGATATTAAAGTCACTCAAACCACCCATCGTAACCAAATTCAAACAGCAAACGGGGAATATATTCCTGTTTCCCAGGCTGGGACCGTTGATGTTACCTCGGACATTCATTTAAATAATTGTCTTTTAATTCCCAGTCTCACTCATAAGCTTTTATCTGTGAGTCAGTTGACTAAAGAGCTTAATTGTACAGTCTTAATAATGGATTCTGGTTGTATTGTGCAGGATGCTCTAACAGGACGGATCATTGGGCGTGGTACTGAACGAGGGGGTTTGTACTATGTGGATGAGGTGGCTCAACAGGGTAACGCTTTGCTTGCTCATGGATCACCGGAAAACCAACTTTGGATGTGGCATCGTCGGCTAGGTCACCCCTCTCTTGGTTACCTTAAACGTTTATTTCCCTCATTTAAAAATATTGATGTAGCATTGAACTGTGAAGCATGTGTTTTAGCTAAGAGTCATAAACATACTTATCATCCTAGTTTAAGTCATGCCTCTGAACCTTTTGCTTTGATTCATTCCGATGTATGGGGCCCAGCGCCTGAATTTGCGTTCCATAACTATTCTTATTTTGTTTTATTTGTGGATGATTGTACTCGTATGAGTTGGGTTTATTTCTTAAAACATAAATCTGAAGTGTTTGATGTCTTTGTTAAATTTTATCATATGATATGCACTCAGTTTCATGCTCACCCACAAATTTTACGATCGGACAATGGGGGGGAATATATAACCTTAGATATGGAACAATTCATTATTGACCATGGTCTGATTCACCAAACCACGTGTCCAGACACTCCCCAACAAAATGGGATTGCTGAACGAAAAAATCGAACCCTTCTTGAAATAACCAGAGCTATCATGTTAGAATCCCATGTCCCGGTCTATTTTTGGCCAGAAGCCATTGCTACATCCACCTATCTCACAAACCGACTTCCCAGTAAACCACTTGACTACAAAACACCTCTCGACACCTTATCCTCTCATGTCACCATCCCATCAGTCCATTCTTTACCTCCACGAGTCTTTGGGTGCGTTGTCTATGTTCATTTACCAAAACGGGCTCGAAATAAGCTCGAACCTAGGGCAGTTAAATGTGTCTTTATTGGGTATGGGGTTCATCAAAAAGGGTACCGTTGTTACGATCCAATTCAAAAAAGGGTCTACACCACCTTAGACTGTGAGTTCTTTGAACAAACTTACTATTACACCCCGCTAAGTCCTCAGGGGGAGAATTTGAGTGATGACCTTAGCTGGCTGACATATCCAGAAATGGTGGACCCAGATCCTACAACACAAGTAGGCAATACCACCGATGCTACCCCAGCAGTAGTCTCACTTCCTCTTCGGTCTCCACCAAATCCGCCAAATGAGCATCCATCTGAAGAGGTACCATCTGAAAGCTCTCCTGTTTCCTATAATATGCCTGAAATTAATCCTGTCTCCAATGAAAGTGAACAAAACAGGTATGAGTTACCTCCTAGAAGTACGAGAGGAGTTCCACCAAGGAGATATGATCCTGAATATGAGGACCAACGGTCGAGATACCCAATCGAAAGAATCAGCACTGAAAATCTATCCAGCACAGCCATAGCTTTCAATGCCTCTTTATACTCCGCAGACATTCCAAAGAATGTGGAGGAAGCTGTCAAGAATGAAAAATGGAAGCAGGCTATGGAAGAAGAGTATCAGGCCCTACAGAAAAACAAGACTTGGGAGAAATGCATCTTACCAAAGGGGAAGAAGAAGGTGGGATGTAGATGGGTATTCTCCATCAAATACAGAGCAGATGGAACTATTGAGAGATACAAAGCACGGCTGGTTGCTAAGGGATACACTCAGACATATGGAATAGACTACTTAGAAACTTTCTCTCCTGTGGCCAAAATTGACACGATACGAGTTCTGTTTTCTGTAGCTGCAAACAAGGAATGGCCTTTGTACCAGTTTGATGTAAAAAATGCCTTCCTTCATGGAAGCATTGACGAGGAGGTGTATATGGAAGTACCTCCTGGATATTCTCATGATTTTAGAGATGGGGAAGGATGCAGATTGAGGAAGGCTCTCTACAGACTAAAACAGTCTCCTAAGGCGTGGTTCGGAAGATTCACAAAAGCTATGAAGAAGTTTGGATATAGGCAAAGTAATTCCGATCATACTTTATTCCTGAAGAAAGAAAAAGAGAAAATCACTTGTTTAATCATCTATGTAGATGACATGATTATTACAGGAAATGATGAGGAGGAGATTGCAGACTTAAAGGGAAAATTATTTCAGGAATTTGAGATGAAAGATTTGGGCAATCTCAAATACTTTCTTGGCATAGAGGTCTTGAGATCAAAGCAAGGGATCTTCATTCACCAGAGGAAATATATTCTTGACCTTCTGGCAGAAACAGGAATGCTTGGTTGCAAACCAGCTGAAACACCGATTGTGGCAAATCATGGCCTTCAAATTCTTGAAGGTGCAAAATTGACTAATAAGGAGGAGTATCAAAAGATTGTGGGGAAACTTATTTACTTAGCTCACACAAGACCAGACATAGCCTATGCAGTAGGGGTAGTGAGCAGATTCATGCATCTTCCACAAGTACAACACATGACAGCAATAATGAGGATTTTGAGGTACCTAAAGGGTACAAGTAGTACTGGGATTTACTTTGACAAGAATGATCACCTAGATCTAATTGCGTACACGGACGCAGATTGGGCAGGAGATCGTGATGGTAGAAAATCCACCTCTGGATACTTCACCCTAGTAGGAGGTAATTTGGTCACCTGGAGAAGTAAGAAGCAGAAAGTAGTGGCTTTGTCAAGTGCAGAGGCAGAATTCAGAGGTATTGCAAAAGGGATAACTGAAATCTTATGGATCCGGAAACTTATGAGTGAAATTGGTTTTCCACAAAAAACAGCATGCAAACTCTTTTGTGATAACAAAGCAGCAATAAGTATCTCAGAAAATCCAGTTCAACACGACAGAACGAAGCATGTTGAGATAGACAGACACTTCATAAAAGACAAACTGGAAGATAAGATAATTAAACTTCCATTTGTGAGATCAAGAGATCAGTTAGCTGATATCCTGACAAAAGCTGTCAACAGTGAAGCATTCGATGAGACATTACGCAAGTTAGGCATTGGAGCACCAAATGCCCAACTTGAGGGGGAGTGTAGAAATAACCATAATTAGTTCCTTAATTAAAGGGACTAAATATTGACCAATTTATTCTGCAAATATTTAGGCTGTATTTTTTGTAGTAGTTGCTGTAACCTTGGTAGTAGTTGCCTAATTTACAGGATACTTCTGTGTATAAATATTTGTACTATCACCAGCAATAAACACACAGAAAATTGCAAACACAATTCTGCTTAATTCTCTATAAATACAACTATATATGGATTTTTTTTGAGATATTCCAAAGTCTTAAATATTGTAAGAACACTGTCAAAAGTTCAGTCTGTTCATGTTAATTTTTTTTCTCTGGATTTAAAATTCATACAGGTGCAAGTAATTATGTTGCTTTGCATTTGACCTCTTGCCATGGAACTACAAAATAACTTTGTCATTAACGCCTCACTAGTATGGTTCATGATAGGAGTAAACAGAAAACAATTATTTCAAATGGATGCAAAAATAAGCCACTAAGTAATACTACCTCCTTGGTTCAGTGGAGTTGAAGTGGATGAAAAGGTATTATTCGAATGATTGTTGATGAGAGAGTATACTGGGACCAAATAATCATTACGGAAATGGATCATTCTTTTAGGGACACCCAAAATAGGAAAATGTAGCATACATATTGGAAGAGAGGGGGTAACTAATAGACAGAAACAGAATATTAAAAGTTGTAACAAAATACAGGACATCCACTTACTTGTACAATATCCTCTTCCATATCCGACCAAGCTTCCAAATATCATCCACAGAGAAATGCTTCTGTAAGAATTTCTTTGGTATCGCCGCATTGAAAACTTTTGCATTTGACCATTTTTTAACATGGTGAGCACCAAGTTTTTCAGATAAAATCGTCTGATCATTGGGGGGCAAATTGATTTTAATTTCACTATCATGAGAACTTGTGTGGCTTGCCAGCAGGTTATAGATATCCACAGGCTTCTGGATTTCATGCCCCTGATAATAAAGACAACAGATTAGGTTAAGCAGGAGAGACAGCAAAGCAATAAACTAATAATATCAGGCAACAATGAAAGTATAAACATCCAGCAGAATCCTCTAGGCTTAGGGTCTGGGAAGCCATTACGTAAAACCGATTATCCCGGGCAAACAAAAGGATTCTTTATAAAGAAAACAGAGAGCATTATATATTTATAGAAGATAAAGCATGAGCAAAAGCAGCAAATGAGATTGAACGTTTGAAACAATAGTTGCAGTGAGAATAGACTCACAATCTAAGACAAAGGACTCTCTCCATTTAATACATAAGGCATCCAAGTTTTATAAAACTGAAATTTGACCATTAACTTCCTTCATATACAATGAGAAGCATTATAAAATGTATGCTGTTGAAGTACTCCTCCGCTTTTAAATACTTGCTCCATTTCTCCATGGGTGGAGTTTTAGGAGAGAATTGGAAGTAGTGAGGCAAGTGGAAGAATAAAAAATTGTAAGAAGTAAAAGTAGAGGAGAGAATTGGAAGAGAGAGAATATGAAATTAATAAAATATGATTTATAGTGGTCCACTAGGTGAGAGAAATTAATTAAATAGTGTAAAAGCTTTCCAAATAAGGAAATGGAGCAAGTATTTAAAAACGGACGAAAATGGAAAGTGGAGCAAGTATTTAAAAATTAGGGAGTAATAAGTAAAATTTAAAAACTATGACTCAATGCATATTTACAAAAATTAATGATAAAAGTTCGATCTTGAAGTGTGTGCATCTTGCTTAGAGTATGAAATGGAGGGAGTAGATAATAGATTAAGAAACGCACAGATGACAGCATAGATGAATATTTTGAGTCAATAAAGAAAAAAAAAAAAGGTAAACAAGTGGGAGTAATTAAATATAATCATGTAATATCATTAAAAATAACTATCCTTAACCAATAGCTCCCCCTGAATATTTAATCTTTTAATTTAAACATAGTAATCTAGGAGGTAAGTTTACCAATAGAATTGAAAATTAAGACCTTCACTTTCAATATATTTTATGCAAAATACTCCATCCAAAATGATGATGAAATTTTTTAAAATTAGAAGTCTCAAGAAATGAAGTTATTCGCAAGAACGTGGATATCACAAGCATTGCAGACAAACTAGGGGAAAATCGCCTGTGTTGGTTCGGGCATGTAAGACGGAGACCCCAAGTACGAAGAGTGGAAGAGTGGGATCATGGAGAGGTTAAACAAAGTAGAAGGAGACCGAAAATAACTTGGTTGGAAGGGGTTAGGAAGGATATGAAGCATATGCATTTGCATGAGAATGAGGTATTTGATTAAGGGATGGAGGAAGATTTTTGTGGATGACTATACAAAATAAACACTTTTGGTTCATGTAGCCGACCTCACTTATTGACTTATGGGATTAAGGCTTTGATTGATTGATTGAGCAATATCAAAAAATTAATTAGAAGCTACAATGGAAAAGTTGAAACTGCATTAAAATTATGCACGTCAAGATAATCGTAAGAAAAGATGTCTAGGAAATTAAGTACCCCAATCCCAAAGTGTACTCAACATTTTGGAATGGGGTATAATTAGCTGATTGTTTTTAGCGAATATTCCAATTGCACGTGCCATAATAGGTCCTCATATCTAATCTACTAATAATAAAATAAAATAAAATAAACTTAAATACTTTAGGAGGGAAGCTGGGAAGGGAGTACCTTGCCAGAATATATAAAATCAAACTGTGCACCAGTTCCCAGACGTGGCATCTTCCCCCAAGCCAAAGCATCTATGCTTCCTAGTAGCCCATCAGCAGCCCCCTTCTTAGCAGCCTTTATGAAGTTAGGTCCAGCATTCTGCAAAAGTTTTTTGGGTTATGAAGTTTTTGGGTTAAAAAAAATCAATAAAAATACAAACAAAGGTAAGAGCAGGATGATACAATAATACATGTGAAAGGAGCAGAAACCCTATATGGTTATGGTTCAAGGCTTCAAAGCTATGCCATGTAGTGTTAACAGCATGGGTATCAAATGGCTAAGTGTGAGAACTAAAACAGACATATATCAGGAACACTAAACAACTTCTACTTAGAATTGAGTGACAAGGAATGAACAAACACATTTTTTAAGGTTTATTTTAAACCGTTTCAAAAAGGTCCAACAATGGTATCACGATATACTCTTGATGAATTTGTAAACACATTTTACACCCCAGCATTTCTAATCTATTTATTTATCAAACTCTCACGTCTAGATTGGCATTTGATAGTTACATACTTATGACATGCCACCCCCTTTACCATCAAAAAAGAAAGATAATTCACCATTTGGGACAGCAGCATAACTACCTTAATCCAAAAATTAGACTGGTATCCAAGCATAATAATCTTCTACTATTATAATCTCCGACAGTTTTCTGTCTCAACTTCAAAATACTTGACAAGCCATCTCAGCTAATATGGGACAGTCAGTATACCAAATCATATTGGAGTCTAAAGGAATTATAAATAACAAGATGGTTTTTTAGGAAAAAAAAAATACTAAGCAACATAAACAATGATAATAGAACAGTAAAACCACTAAATAAAGCCAAAACTTGATTATGTGATTGTCATCTCGAGGGGTGAGCAAAAAATCAAGGTACCCAAGAGGTCGGTTCGGATTTCGGGTAGTGAAATGGAGAACCTATTGCAATAAGTTCCGATTGAGATTCTCAATTTTTTGGAACCAGGGTATCCTGTAACCCGATAAAAGCATCAATTTATCCCACATCATACATCAATTCAAGCCCAATTTTTAAACAAGATAGTAATTTGCGGGTTCGTTTGGCATCACTGTGGTTTTCTGTTTTTTGGTTTTTTTGTTTTTTAAAATCATATGATATATATGATGTAATGAATAAAAAATTAGTCAAATTTATTAAAATTATGATAATTTTGAAAACTGACAACCAAAAAGTGGAAACACCTTTTTCTTGTTTCCTGTTTTTGGTTTTTAGTTTTCAAAAAAACAAAAAACAAAAAACAATGCCAAACAAGCCCTGAACAACAATTTTTGGTTTGTAAACTTACGACCATCCAATTTTTTTTTTAAAATAAATTTGCAAAATAGTATAAAGTAGATTAAAAAACAGCGTACCTAGAACCGGAACCGAAACCTGCAATAGGTTCTGGTTCTGGTTCTCATTTACTAGGAACTTGTTCAACATATACAGCTTCGATTTTATTTTTGAGGAACTTATTGCAACAATGTCCGGTCTCAAGAATTTAACAGAGTAGCTTGTTATGCTCACCCCTAGTCATATCATCAAAATGCACAAAGAGACCTTTCACTTCTCATCTCGTTTTACTTCTCTCTAAGATAACTACCCTTACAATCAACAAGGTTATTAAGAAATTTTCACTGTAGAAGGAATGAAGGATTCAATAATGAAATCTGTCAGGTCAAAGGTTTACTATTGGAACTTTTGAAGACTGTTAATTTTTAGGACATAAAATAGACATGTAAAGAATATGGAAACAATTAAGCAGAAGTATTTTTTTTTAAGGCCCAGGGATTTCTCAGGTCTTCTATTAGCAGGAAATGATATTTCTCTGTTTTCCTGTTACATCATAAGATTTAAGGTGACAAGCTCAGGCAATAAGAATACACTATTATGCATTTACCAAGGAACACATAAAAATGAATAGCATAGACACACTCACATTAAAGCATGCCAACATAAATGGTGACGAAACAGATACAAGAGCTTTCTGCCGAGCAACCCCTTTTGGACTCAACCCTACAAATTCCCCTGTCACAGACAGACAATCTGCCAGTAGAATTAAGTGCTGGGGAAGAATAGTTTTGCCTGTATCGGTAGCAGCACTTCTCAAATTCTGCATATTAAAAATTTATATCAATAAATAATTTATAAAAGTTTCATATATTAACATGAAAAAAGCCAGTATATGTTCTAAAAAAAGGAGAGAGAACCTCAAGGAAGCATCGCCAGGCAACATCAATTCCAAAAGCTGAATTTATCTCACTCAGGTCATCAGGATAACTGCGTGTCCAATCTATCAAATCCATGATTGGAAGACAATTGTTCATTAGTCTACTCCACATATTTTTGCTTTTGCAATTTGCTGACAGAGAGACACTTAGATATAGTTCACCACCAGGTGGCTTTTTCTGAATCCTTGATTCCACCGGATGATCATGCCATAAAATCTCCACCTTATCAACCTCAGCAAATCCTGAAGAGCATGAATAAGCTAAAGAACTTGGGTAGAGGATGTAAATAAACATAGTTGGGCATAGAAGATAAATTTGTTCCACAGAAAAAAGATGAGATGCAGAGCATAGAGCTCAACAATGTGGTAAATAAAATAAATAGCTTTTGGCACATCTTATCGTTCAACAAACCTAAATGCAAAAAACTATTTATTTACCACATAGTGCGAAGAGCTATTTATTGATCACATGTACATCCATGAGTTAACAAACTATCCAGCTAAAGAATATCCAGTGTTCCGGAAAAATAACATGATTCATACTTCCGTTTTTTTAGTTAAACCAGGTTCAATTTTTGCACAATTCACATTTTCCACTTTGATCATCTTTGTCTCAATATGTATTCTAAATTATCAGCTAGTAGATAATTAAAGTTATCAATGGTCAAAGCTGAGCATTTGCAGACATGTCAAAAGTCAAACATACACAGCTTAAAATATACAGAGGAAGTAAATGTTCAGTTTTTGCAGGCTAACATGAAGGATTGCCTTGGAGGTGATGAAGACTAAGAATTTTTTTACTATGAATATGGTGAAAGTTTTTCTTCTAACACAATAAGATTACCAATGAATCACAAATTTAAATCAATGATCTATTCTCTATTTTCAAAAAGTTCGCAATGTTAATGCAAGGAAGAATACTCAGGAAAATCCACCGTTGTGTGTTACAGATTACATATAGATCTTTAAAGTGCTGAAATATAACAGAAATAGTCCCAGATTGAAATATCTATTATGATATATATTTTTTACTCAGTTGGAAAGGTGTTAGCTGAGAGTTCTTATTGAGGTATCTCAATCTACTGGTATTTTAAAAGTGTTCAGAAACATATAAAGAAGTAAAGCTTCAATAAAGATAAAACAGGAAATATTTTTTGAAGATAAGAACCTTTTACTACAGATCCCAGAAGACTTGGTATTACCACCTCTCGAACTGAATATAAATCTGTAGATGATTTCCTTGGACTTTCAGTTATGGTAGCAGTAATGCATACAATGGTAGTATCATTCCCAGCATCAGAACGACAACCATTCCTGGAATTTCATTAGTGAAGTCAATATGGATATAAAATTGTAAAGCTCTAAGAGGTATAGTAGATACAATATCATGAAGCCTAGGAATATTGAAGAAGAGATAAATTATGTAGCAAATAAAATGATGCTCCACAGTTAATACTAGCCCCATATTAAGTACACCAGCTACCACACAGCCAGTGGCGGATCTTCAAACCTTTTCTTTTAGGGGCCGATAAATTCAGATAAAATGTACTCCCTCTATTTATTAAGTTCTACTCAGTTACAATAGATATGCAATATAAGAAAATATTACATAGTTAAGTTGGTGTAAGATAAATTAGGATAAAGTAAGAGGGAGAAGGTAAAAAGGTAGGTGGGTAAAAGAAAATTGTGAATAAAATAAAAGTGAGTGTGTAGAAAGGTGTAATCATTGTAGAGTAAAAGGGAAAAGATGGAAAAGAGGGTATACTTATATAGAACTAGCCCTTTAGAGCACTCAGTCATGGGAAAAAAAATTCCCATGAGGAAAATTAATTGGAAAAAACACATATATAGTCCCCCACTCATCAGAAACTCAAGTTTTTGCACATGAGCAAAAATGATTTCACCAAGAAGTGAGGAATGGAAAATGAACAATGTTTTGGTGTGGGCCCCACATTTGGGTGCTAATATTTTAGTTGCTTGTACCAAACCAAAATGACCTGTTTTGGTGATGAACATGAGGAACGGAGCGTCAAAACACACACACACAAACAGACATATATACGGTATATATATTTGCTGCGAGCTAACAGGGCGTGTCAGTGTGACCAATTAGGCCGAGCCACGTGTTACGATCAGCCATACTACCCAATAAGATTAGTAAAATATTTTGAATTTCACTATCATTTACCAAAAAGTACAAAATAAATGGAAGCAACTCCTCAAGCTAATCAAGGAAGCAATTGTCAAGCTCAACTAACATCACCATCTCACATTTGGTCAAAAGCTGAAGCACTTTGAAATTACAAGAGATGAAGATTAAGTTTGACATGCTTGAGGCCTTGAAGTCAGGGCATCACAAACTCCTAATGAAGAGGCATTCAAGGAGAAGTTACTTATAAATCTATATGGTAAGGTCTAAATTTTCATAAGTTTTGTAGGTTATGTTATTATCTAATCATGTTGGTCTTGTTATGTAATCTATGTCTTGTTATAAGAGTCATAATTTAATTTACTTTTGTGAAATACATTTTTATAATTTGATTAATGAAAAAAAAACACTTAAAATCCCTTGTCTAAACAACTGTTAATTTTCAAATGCTTCTAGCAATGGCTGACAAGTCAGCATGAGAAATTGAGAACCCATCCTCACTCAGCAAAAAAAAAAAAAAAATAAATAAATAAATAAATAAAACAAATAGTGATCAATTCTTTTGTACCAAACCATATTTAACTCATGTCTTTTAAAAAAAATAGAAGAAAAAAAAACACATTCTTAACTTTCAGCATCTAAGAGGCATGGGGTATAAAAATACAATGTTAAAATAAAATAAAATTAAATTAATAGCGGATCAAGAGAAAATAAAAATAGTGAGAAAAAGTACTGGAAATAGGAGAGAAAAAAGTGTTGGTATAGATTAAAAAAATATAAAGGAAGTCGAAATTCATTTGGAAAATCCCAAAAAGAAGAGCAAGGAGTTACAAAAAATTATATATATATATATATATATAAAATAAAAAAAATTAAAAAAAATAAAAAAAATTAAAAAAAATAAAAAAAATTAATTAGAAAGAAAGAAAGGAATGGATAGAGTAATTATTTTAGGTGCACCATCTGAAAGTAATTTGTTCAGTTGGCCATTAGCTAAGCTGCTTAATGTCTGAAATATACAGGAATAGAAAGAGTATTTCCAAACTCATAACATGCGCTCTTGAAAGGCAATTCAAGTAGTTAAAGATTGGTAGAGATAAAGATATGAAGTACAACCACCACCACCCGTCTAATCCCACCAATAACCAAAGTTTGGAGGGATCAATATCTATACATGTATACTACAAACTAGTCTAGTCAGGTAGCGAGACCGGATAGATAAGAAAATGTAATATATATATTAAAAAAAAAAAAAAAGGATCAGACACCTTGAAGGGCATTTACAACTTCAAATTTCAAAAAAAAAAATTCAAGCAGAGGCTGCAAAGGCTTACTTGCTCACTAGTTGTACATTAGCAAGGGAGGCAGTTGCTTCACATTTCCTCTTGAGAGCATCAATAATTGAAAAAACTTTCAGCCGCATTTTCTTCAGAATATCCTGGACAAAGTTGACATAAGAGACAAAGTTAGCACTGAAACATGAGATCTGAACAGTATTTTAAATAAATTCTTTCGCCATACAGACTTACCTTGCTCACATGGAAATGGCAAACCCAAGGGCAAATCTGCATTCGATTATGGTTCTCTGGAGAATAGCTGATAAACCAAAAAAGACAACCATATAAGGTAAAATAATTGTAAAGAGTGAAACAAGAGTCATGACAAAGAACCAAAAAATGAACACATAGAAAAAGGTAACTTACAGTATCATAACTGTTGAGACAATATCCGAAAACAAAAGTTTCTCAAGATGATTTTTAACTTCTAAGACCCCATATTCAGAACCGTAACGCAACCTTCTGAGCTTTTGTGAGAGAAAAAGTGAAACAGTCCTGCTTCCTTTGGCTTTTCTGGAACCACTCTCCATTACTTTCTGCATAATATGATTGCGTCTAAATAAAGTAAGTTCAAGTGAGAAAATTTTTAAAAATAAATAAATAAAACCACGTTCTATCAGAAACAAATCAAACACTTTGACATCATCCTATCTACATATTTTCAACAAGATACATCATTTCTTTAAATTTAGTGCATTTTGAGTTCTCTCCTTTTTTTCTCCATGCAAAGAATATAATAAACAAAACCAGGAAAAGAGAGTCAAGAGACAGACTATAATGTGCCCAGACAGCAAGGTAGATAAAGATAAATGTGCATTTGACATCAGCAAAGAGAGAAAGAAGGCACCTTAAAGTTTAATAAAGGAGAAGGTTCCAGAACAGTGACGGGTTGGTCTAGTGCACCATATGCAGCTTCAGAAAAGGCAGAAGCTGCCAATGCACCAACAGCATGACCGCCAACAGCTTCACATGCATTCATGCTCTCACCAATTGATTCATCATTTCCTTGTGAGGAAGACTCACCCTTATCAACAGCATAAGAAAATTGAACAAGTTGATTTCCATATGCATTTCTTACAGTGCCATCATAGGCCAATTGTATATCACGCATGAAAAATGAAAGCTTTCGCATTAAGGTACCAGGGACACTAGCATGATCACTAAATGTACTATCTCGACATGTTACGGAATGAATAAAGCATTCAAGAGGGTTCAAGCCTGTGACAAATGAACCTTCCACCACAGCAGTAGGAATGAAATTTTTGGCGCATTCAAAATTTTCTTGAAAGTTTGAATTTTTTTCTTTCAGCTCATTCCAAGCAGAACACGAAAGCTTGTGAGGGAGCCTGAAAGTCAATGGTACAAGTGAATGTTGTAAACCAAGACACATACTTTGCTGAACTAATTTTGACAGATTCCCTTTGCTTCCAGATTTCATCATGGCCAACAAAGCATTGTCACTAGCAGCATATTGATAAGTCAAATTCTGAATATCTCGGAAAACATATTTGAAGGCACTGGCAGAAGCTCGACTTAGACCAGCAGACTTCTGTTTTTCACAGCATAGTTTATCAACCTCAAGTAACATAGCAGTTTGGTTTTCTTCTTCATCATCAAGAAGGTATTTTATGGAAGATTTAACCAAAAACTGTGTCATATGGCAATTCTTTTCTGCTTCTTGAAGACCACAAGAGACTTCATCAACCAAATTCTTACGCAGGTGCCCATCAGAACACAGATAAAGGTCCAGTAGAGAGACACTCAATCCCCTTGATGACAAATATTCACAAAAAACACTTTGAGCAGCATCAAGATAATCCAGAAATTTCCCACCAAAATGATTAATAAGACTTTCAAAAAAGTTTCCATCTGCATCCCCACGAAACCAAGATGACCCAGTAGGAGATGAGATTAACTCTCCTTTAGTAATTTGTACACCGTTTGAAGGAGATACATAATCAAATTCAGGTGGCAATAGCATGCTGAATATTTGCTTCCCAGTCCAAAAATCAGAATTTGCAGGAGATGAAAGCAATTTTGGGGGACAAAGCATCTCAAGATTCTGCACTTGAGGTTTGGACAGAACATTCTCCTCAGCCGTGAGCAAATAAGCAGCAGTCATGCTATCATGTGCCAGTGAGAGCAAGTTTCTTCCATTCTGTTCATTTCTTAACTGTTTGTCAAGGCCCACGAGCTCCCTTAACTCCACTCTAGCTTCCATTGACTGAGGGACATAGCCATGCAGGCAATCACCGTCAAAATCTCCTTGCAAAGGAGCACAGCACAAAGGATTTATGGAGACAACGGAATTTATCGGAAGAATTTTAACATGCAAAGCAAGCATTGAATGTTGATGAACTGAAGGGGGCCTATTTATTAGCATAATATCACCATCATTCAAAGGCCTATATATAAGGTCTCCAAATTGGAAGTCCTCCATTTCACGAACAGAAACCAAATCACCTTTTCTGCGAACATAGACCTCTCCCTTCTCAAGAAGCCTCAAATTGCAGCTGGCAGTCAACTTCTCCCAGTTCAAAGAGTTCAAATGATCAGATATTTGCAGCCTTTCTGCGATATAACAAGGGATGCCAATCTCACAGAGTTTCAAATAAGGATCACCAGTGACAACGGAGCGAATTATGTGATCACTTCTCTTCGTAAGAACTACTTCCTTCATCCATTTAGAAGCTGATGTATTTAACACATCTACATTATCAGAATCATTGTTGGACTTTTCCAGGCGTAACTGCAGAAATAAATAACCAAAATGGTGCATTAAGTATTGAAATAAAGACACGTGTCAGAAACAAAGAGAGGTATACATTGAGGAGTTCATGATAGGTTTCCTGCCTTTGAAAGTTTCAAGCAATCTAGGACACGAGACGCCAACTCATTGGCAGCACCCCTGAAATCAACCAGCTTCCTGAAAGCCCTAGTTCGGTCATCCTTATAATGAAGCAGACAAATATAAGAATAAAGACAAGGATAAAGGAAGAAATCATAGATAATGATGAAATAAGCATAGAGAGTTTAAAGAAAAATCACCCACAAAAATTAACTTCTGTCCAGTAGAAAATGGATGAATAAGTTCAGTAACACGATGACAATTAGGGGTCACTGCAAAGCAATTAAGGAAAAGCGCATCTTTTCTGGAAACAAATTCTTTTATGAAGCTTGGGTCAACATCTTTTAGTAAATGGTAGACCTGCAAATGGAAAGATAAAAGAAGCTTAATTCTACATAAGCACATGCACCAGTATACAAAGCATATGATAAAAAAATTCGCACAAAAAGCACAAAACAGATTCTAGAAGCCTGAAATTTTGTAGACGGAATTTAGTTATCCATCTTGAGTTTATATTTAAATAACATGCCTTTAAGATTCAGCACATTACGCTACACAAGAAATGAAGACCTAATTAAGAAGATGTTTTATACCTGTGCAGGTGACAACACTCTTTTATTATTGTTATTGTTCACACTTTCTTCCACTTGAACATCTTTAGGAATAAAATCCCAAAAATTTTCAAGCTGGTATTTGTTTTGTGGTCTCTCAGTAAGTTCTACGGTAATTGCCGTCTTCCTAAATAAGTCATTGGTGGAAACTCTAAATCTGATAGATGGCCTTCCCTGCATATAGGAATTACATATTAAATTAAATAAAATGGTAGAGATGAATTGGAAAAGATTTGGAATTGAGTGTTGTTTAAATACTAATTGAGAAAAACTTACTACTGCACAATATTTACAAGGATTACAAACCCTTGACGAATCATGCTTAGCCCCTGCTTTTGCACCCTGACGACTCAGAAAACAAGAAAAGAATGTCATGAACATCAGTTCATCAAAAACAAAGACTCTTCAGCAGAGAAATATATCACTAATATTCTAAGCCTCAAAGAGAATCCCCCTTCCATCACCTCAAGGACATGGAAATAAGGAACGGATACCCCCCCCCCTCCTTGCCCCCACAGAGTACATCACAAAGGTGACTAAAACCTCTTTCCATAAAAAAAAAATTAAAAAAATAAAATAATAATAATAAATATAAATAAAAAGTTGAAAATGAATATATAATCATATGAATAAGTTGAGAAAAATACTAGGTTTGGTCCCTTCAATTCAGAATTCAGGCCTTGCTAAAAGTCAAAGCCTTAATCAAAAGAGGTAGTAGTTGCATTTTCTGTTGTAATAGTTAAGTAACAAGTTGGTTGATTTTAATTTAAATGGTGTTATGTTGTTAGAATGTATCCTAGGAAGGGAATCAAGTATCCACAGTAAAGCAAAGAAAATTGTGCAGTGGTTCTTAACTTCCTATATCGTGTTGCTTTATAACCATAGTTTGCATGCAAACTATACCATAATTGCAGCGATAAATCTGTGAACTGAAATCTATTAGCCAAGTTCTGATAAGGAAGGTATCTAACCTTAGTGCGTCTTTCTCTTCGGAGAGATTTACATCCTGGGCAGATTTTGTTCAAAATTTGTACAACTTCAGACGTAAAATATGGGTGGATAATTGTGTATGGAAAATGGATAACACCAAAATGACCTGCCATATACTTCGCAATATTAGATGACATTTTGAAACTTCAATATAAGAGTGAACTACAAAACATGAAAGTAAAATATATCATTCTCAAAACTACAAAGATATATGTTTATGCCTTACCTTCGCACTGTTTATTGCTTCTTGCACCACAGGTGGCACACTGGGAAGTTGGATTTGGAAATCCCAACTTTGGATCAGTCACTCCGGCAGGACTTTCAATAGTTAACACCGATATATTCTCCTGAAACACAATAATTTACGTAATATAACAAAAGGCCAAACGGGTGATCTCGGCATAACTACATGTCATCATAGAATCATATGTACACACTACTTGTACATGATTAAAATAGTAATACAAGAAGAAACTATAGCTCTGGGAAATAACGTAAGATCACACATTTCAAAAAGTAGCAAGTTGCTGAGCATATTCATTAAACTATAGAAGTCCACCACAAACTTCAGACGATGTGGCATAACCAGAAAAGAGTGAGCACCTTCTCATTCAGATTAGTAATGCTTCTTAATGAGGTTACTTCTGGACTTCCTTCAATTCCTTATGTTCGAGCTTTACCTCTTTAAATTATGCTGGCAATGTTTGAAAACAAAGATGCTATGTAGATTTAAGTTATTTGACAAAAGAATCTAACTACGCCCTATATCAAGTAACTGCTTTGTGCTGGAAGAACAGATAGTGGGTTAGGTAATAAAGAGGGGATGGGACAAAAACAGAAAAATAAAAAACTCCAGCCTGAGAAAAAAATTCCGAAAGAATGCTAAAGTGAGTGAGAATCATACTAATCTCATTATAAAGTATAATTCTAAGGCCAAATGTGTTAGCACAGAAAACTGTCATGGAGGTCTACTACAGGTTAACAAACAAACATATTTGCAATTTTGCATTTCTAGGAACAAGATAAATAGTAAAGGAGAAAGGCGAAATTGAAATAAACTTACTGCATAGTTTTCAGTCAGCACATTAAAGTGAACTCCTGATAGAATCCCAACAGGCACTTCATTCACAATACTGACGTCATCGTCCATGGAACTCAGCATTCAGATACAGCTAATATGACTGAAAGGGGCAAATAATTGCAAAAAAATATATAAATATATCAGATTCATTACTGATAAACACTTTTACAAGCAGTCAAATGATAAATTGCATAAATTAACCAACCCTCACAAAAAATAACATAGGATTCCCAAAACAAGAATCTTAATTCAAAGATGGCCGAAAACTCTAATATCAATTAAGATAACAGAGATTGATACTGAAATATTGCACTGAGGATTACAAACATAGGTATATAAATTTAAAGGAACATTTTCATCAAAAGATGACTACAATTCAATTCCTAGAGACATGTTAAAGAAGAGATCTTGTGAACAGCCCAAGACTTACAAACAGCTTTAAGTACATTCCAATTCTTACTCACCATTGCCAGGAGTCATTAGCAAAACTTTCAGTAGCATTTATAGATCAAAATTTTTTAAGTGTGACTTTATCCGTTATTCCAAATCGAGTGCAGGAGAGAAAAATTCTATGAGGTCAAGCAACGGAATCAGAATAGCAAAAATTACAACAGATGTTTTGAGAACGTAATAAAAATAATCTTTTGTTGGGATTTCATCATTTCAGTGACCTATTTGGAGCCTTGGAGGGAACTGCCATAACATATGTAAAATAAAATTGCTAGAGCACACAGGTGAAGGATTGAAGGAAGCTGAATGGCAGTGATTGGCTCTAGAAGCCCCAAACTATGTACTCAGAGTGCAAATGTCCCACCTACACCACATTTAAACCTGATTTCGAAATACCATTGAAAATTGGAATAATTTACCAAATAACGGTTTTCAAAAGTAACGTAGATAACTAACTTCGCCTTCCAGAAAACCAGTATGTCAAGTAGGTTTGAAACCTTATAATACCTAGTTGGCAACAGACTCTCCCCTTAACAAGTTAAAACACGAGCTTGTACTGGCAAAATATGTTGATCACTCTGATCATAGAGATAGAGTAATAACATCATCGTACTCGTTGTAGAGAAATAATTCCTTGTGAACCAACCAAGTGTACCCCATCAGCATTGATGATGTTTTACACCAGCTGTAAGACGTGAAAACCCGACAGCGAATGTAGCAAACACTTCCCCCGCCTCCCAACCCTCCACCTTCCCCCAAACGGCCAAAAGAGTCTCGAGGGTGAAAACTTACAATCAATGTCTACACTTACACCTAAATGACACCAGGGACCGGGGTCTCCAATTCTCCATTGTCATACCAAATACCTTCCTCCCAACCTTAGGGAAAGAGGCAGAAACTCTTAATCCTCAAGAAATCGCCGTAAGTGATAAGATCACGAACGCAACAGCAATTGATCCCCGAAAAAATGATCTCACAGTCATGACTTGAATCTCTAGTTACCACTTACAAACCCTATAAGACTACAAGAAATCCAAAGACATCATAGAAAACTAGGAAACAATGTCAACAAGGATCACTATATATCTCAATCAAACCATACCATATACTTCAAATTCAGCAAAAGATCAAAAGATTAACTTAGCGCATACAAAGCATGCAATCAGTCAAAATTAATAAAAATAAAATATTAAAAATTACCCCATCAAACAAAATTTAAAATTTTACCTACCCACATTGCCCAATTCATCCTTCCTAACCCCTCATCATCCAAACACATGCAAAGGAAACGATCATCACAACGACCCCAGATAACAAAACTAAAATCAATCAAAACCCAAAAAAAAAAAATATATATTCTTTCAAAAAATCAAACATCACCTGAATTTAGTTAATGGGTTAAGAGAAAACAACCAAAATTCTTCTGACCCACCACAGAAAATCAACCTGAAAACAGAAAAACCCAAAAACCCAATTAAATTAAGCAACTTACAATGCAGCATTCACAATCAAAACACACAAAAAATCAACATGATTATCAAAACCCAAAAACAAAACCCATTGGAAAAATTAATCATACTTTCTGTGGGGGATGTCTTAGATGAAAGTTTACAGAAGAATAAAAACCACTTACCCACAAACCAATTATATATGAAGCAGAGTAACAAAAAAAAGAGGAAAGAGAGAGAATCAAAAACAATGGAATTCAGGACAAAAGTTGTAAGGGGCCCCACTGAATGGGAGGAATTCAAGGGCTAAAAAACCCAAATTGAAAATTGAGAAATTCTGTTTAAGGGAGAAGAAAAGCTGGGAAAAAGTAGAAGAAAAAAGAGTTTTTATGGGGGTTTAAGCCTGAAAAATAAAAACTATACATAAAATAATTACTCCGTAATTGATATATTTATTAGGCAAGAATAATAATAATAATGTTGGTAAAATAATAATTATTGTATAAAAATGGAAATAAATACAATTAAAAGAGAGCGCCGCCGGATACTTGCAAAAGTGACCAGAGTCGCGCCGAGTTCAAGACGGAGGAGGACTCGTGAGAAAGGGAGAGTTGCGACAATTTTGTTGTGATTGCTGCCTTTTTTTTAATTTCTCTCTCTAGAGTCTCTCACTCTCTCCCCTCTTGGTTTGTTTAGTTTTAAACCATCATCACTCATGGTATAAAAATTATATCACCCCTCTTTTTCTACCACTTTCTCACTCATCCGCATCACCTATACCATAATACAATATACTTTCTTCAAAAATCACCCCAATCACCCCATCCATGGTATAAAAAAAAGTTTACTAACACACTTTCTCTCTTCTATAAGTATGAATTATACACTTAATTAAATTATAATTATATTTTGTTTTAGGTTGAAAATAACTAATTACTATTTATAAAGTTAATTAAATAAAAATAAGCAATTTAGGTAGAAAAAAGTGAATTTCAAAAATATATAAAACTATATCAATATGGGTGTCTATGTGTATGTCTTGAAAATTTATGAACAATGGTAATTTTTTCATAATTTTTGACTTTATAATTTTTTCTTAAAATGCAATTGAAAAAAAAAAAAAAAGATATATGACAATCAAGCCACATGGCGTGACCTGGTTGGTTCGTGTTTCACGTGGAACGAAGCAAGAGTTTACCATGGGATGGTATATACCATTTGATGGTATAGTTTTATGCCACCAAGGTAGTAAAAATTTGCAACTTTTGGATGAAAATTTACACCGTGGTATAAAATTATACTACTAGTGTTGATGCTCTTAGAGTGATGTGAATAGAAATTGATTATACGTTAAAGTGAGAGACTAAAAAAATATACTTCCTCTGTTCTTTTTTACTTGACCTGTTTCTTTTATCACGCTTATCAATGCCAAATTTTTACATTGAAAGAAACACATCAAGTAAAAAAGAACAGAGAAAGTATATTTTTTTAGTCTCTCACTTTAACGTATTTAATATTTAATATTTATCTTTGTCGATAAATTCCCAATATAATACTGAAAAAGAAGTGTAATAAATTACCCTTAAAAAATAAAATCTTTTATACCTTTATTCATATTAAGAAAAAATAATTTGAAGATAATGCAATCTTTTTCTCCCAAATTCAGTAGTGTAAAACTTTTTGTTGCTACTCGTCGAGAATTAAACATATACGGAGTATTATTATTATTTTAAAAAAAAAGAAATTCATTATGTTAGTATATCGACATAACGTACGGATACAACTTATAAAATTTCTTATTTAGAAAAATTATAGAATATGAATACCTTATCGTATATTTTATAAATAGAGAAAAAATTGTAAAAAAACTTTTGAACTACAAATTACTCCTTTTTTTTGGAAAAATGGAAATAAATAAACTCATATTTGCCCGAACTGAAAATAACAAACCTACCTTTTGATATTTACGAGACAAACCCACCTTTGTATGCCATATAATGAACTTTTTTACCTACAACCTGTTAGACAAGTTAAAATGTTTTTTTAAGCCATGAGTCGCTCAATAATTGTTCTAAATAAAAAAAAAAAGTGAAAGACAAAAAGAAAAATATGTATAAAAATTAAAATAATTAAATAAAAAAAAAAAAAAAAACACCACCCATCTCCCAAGCCACCGCAAAACCCTAACCCTTACCCTAGCCCCAGCAAAAACCGCCTGACCACCACCCTAAACCCCCGAAAACGGCCAGCCAGAACCCCCTTATACCAAAAGCCACCCCGAATTCACCACTAACTTAATTCCTACCCCCGAAACCACCATAACCCACCATGGCCGCCGCCCTTAAAGCCATCACAGTTGCTGAAAACGCCTCTCTAACCGGCGAAAAACCCCTGAAACATCAATTTCAGCACCGAAAAAACACCACCCAACCTCCCTTACCACCCCGAAATATCCCACTTTACCTCGCTAACCACCCCGAACCTTTAACACCCTAAAATCCACTAAAACCCGCAAGGGTCCACGGTTTCCCTGATGGGCAGGTGTCATTGGCCGTTTTTGGAGGTTAATGAGGGTGGTCGTCCGGTTTTGGTGGTGGATGGGGTAAAGGCTAGTGTTTCAAGGTGTTGGGTTGGTGGCTGGAGTTTTTTTTTTTTTTTTTGTACTTTTCTTTTTTTATTAAAAAAAGAAATGAAATGCACCAATTAAAATTTGACACGTGGCATACAACCTATTAAACTTGATCACCAATAGGTCAAGGTTCATTTAAAGAAGATGTCATACAAAGGTGGGTTTGCCTCACAAATATCAAAATGTGGGTTTGTTAATTTCAGTTCGGGGGCAAAGGTGGGTATATTAATTTTCATTTTTCCTTTTTTTTTTGAAGACACAAATTATTATAAATCTTTATAGAACTTGGTAAAATTGTATATTATACGGGACTTAGGCCCTGTTCTTTTGAGCTGTTGGATAGAGCAGAGCAGGGGTCAGTAGAGCAGAGTAGATTAGATATCAGCTAATTATAACAAAATTTAGAATAACAGAGCAGAGCAGAGCAAATTTCGGCATTACTACTACTACTACTACTATTGTTGCTACTACTGCTTCTTCTTTTGTTGTTGTTGTTGCTGCTACTTCTACTACTACTACTAATACTAAGTGCATATACCATTGATTTAGGTGAGTGAAAACATAAATAAATGTGTATTTAACATATGTTAATTGTAGAAAGATAACACACAATTGTTTACATCTTCAAATTATTACAATCGCATATCAAAATAGGAACATGATTAGATAAGAGTTTAACATTATTCTTGGTAAATAGTAGATTGAAATTGTTATTATTTTTATTTTCAAAATAAAAATTAAATTGTTATTATTATTGTTTTTTTTTAAAGAATTGTTATAATTATTAGAAATTATTAATTAACAATATTATTAAATATCCATTCTTAATATTTTGAATTATTAATTATTATTAATAATTATTATTATGAATAATAAATATTAATTATTATAATATTAATAATTATTATAATTATTTTTAATATTAGTAATTATTATAATTATTTTTAATATTAATAATTATTATCATCAATACAATATTAATTATTATTATTGAATATTAATTATTATTATTATTTGAAAATAGAGCAGAGTAGAGCAGCGTAGAAATCTTTTGCGCAGATCAAATTAGATATGAGCAGAGCAGAGCAAAACAAAACAGAGCAACTCTAAAGAACGAGGTCTTAAGCTAGTAGAAAGTTAATACTCCGAACTATGCATATTTAGAATTACTTGAGTCATTGTTTTCAAGTTCTGTCCAAAATCATATAAGTACGAGATATTCATTTCTCAAATTCTCAAACATCATATATAAACTATGCACACGAAGAAAAATCATAAGTACCAAAGTAAATGAAATACTTTGTATTTATTAGAATTGTCACACTCCGTTAGAGAAGAGGGGTAAAGACGTAAAGTAGCCAATATGAACACAAGTATATATGGGTAGAGAACTAGAGATGTACGAAAAATCATTCATTTATTTTTTGACGTAAAAATTCATTTATTATGATGTTTTATCCTTCTACATTAATCTATTGTTCAATTTATCCTTTATCCCCTGCCTCACACCTTTTTTTTTTTTTGGACAAATTTTTGAATTTGGGAAAAGGGTTGAGATGTTTTGTAGCTTAGTTTTCATTGTTTGTGCGTAATGAGGAAAGAATGTGCGTATATGCATGGGTAGAGATCCGATCCATGCATTGTCCTCTCCCCTAAGTTGTGTCTTTGTGTACAAATATACGATACAAACTTTTTATTGGTTGTTTCAGTGTTTGTACTTACAACTTTGACTATAAATGAAACAACAATTTTTTTTGAAAAAAAATGTACAATTTACTTACTTTTATCCTCCAGTTTAGGCGATTTTATCTAAAAGCTTAAGTAACTTTCACATTTTTGTACGGAGTTTTTTTTTTTCTATATCTAAAAAGTTAGGATATTTTTTAGAGTAAATGTAGATATTTATTTTTCTAAAATAGGTATGTAGTAGGTTGTAATTTTTGTGAAATTTCCTACAAAAATAAATGATGCAGTATTTTAAAAAGCAGATTCTATTCATTCATCAATTAAATCAAACATCCAATCTTTCTAAGCTTATAAATAAAAGTTAAGGGCTTGTTTGATAATGGCTTTTTGATGTGGATCTCTCAAGACTCTCACAAGGCTCGCAAGATATAATAACATTGGATCTTCGGATTTTAATAAGGACTAAAGAAATTACACGAAAATTAAAAGGATAGTACTCTAATTCTCGCAGGCATAGAGGGTCTCTTCCTAGTCGCAACTAGAAGATGATCACAAGTCGCAACAAGTGATGTTTTTTTTATTAACAATCAAACGAGCAACGCTCAAAGGATTAAATCCCATAACAAATCTCTCTCCTTCTTAAACTATTATTGATATACACCCATATTTATAGGGTAACAAATCGTACAATGATAAGTAGAAAACTAATAATTTTATCCTAAAATAAGATAAAATATTAAGAATTATAATCATAATATATCTACTAATCATATTTTAACCAACTACAAAATCTATCCCAACATAAATAGATTAAATAAATAAATATCCTAATGGCCTTAATGGCTAAAACTCTTGAAGCCTAAAAATAGGAAAAATCCTTTCAAGTGAAATGTAAAAACCCATAGGCAAAAATCCTAATAATTAATAATAACTAAAAGATAGTGTTGGCTTTCTTAAAATTCCATGAATTTTCAAGAACACCAATATTGTTCAATTGCTCTCGCATCACTTTTCATTGGCTTTTGGCTTTTTCATTTGGTCAAACATCCAAAATTTGTGTTTGGTAAATGGCTTTTTAGCCAGCTGAAAAGCCGGCTTTTAAGCCAAAATAAAAAAGTTACTTAGAGTAGGTTTTGGCTTTTGGCTACCTAAGTGTTAAATCAATTAGGGCTCAAATCTTAGAGTCCTTCATTCATTCATTCATCAACATATAGAGTACATAGTTTCCCTAAAATATATCAAAAGATATCTTAAGATAATCATAGCCTATAAACTAGGAAACTAAATATACGATAAACATGGAGATGATATGATAATATTTTCCTAATGTTCCTAGCACTGAGTTACTAATAACATCCAACATCCAATTTTATCAAACATATTTTTAGACTAATAAAAAGTCAATCAGCCAAGTAGCCAACAATAAAGTCAATACAAACAGCCAGTCGAACCAGCCGACAGTCAATTGCCAAACAAGACTCAAGTCTTCTTGACAG